TCACCTCCACGGTGCAGGACTTCGCCGATCGCTTCCAGGCCCTGGCGTGCCACGCACCCGGTGTGACGGCCTTACAACGGGCGGAACTTTTCATTGGCGGTCTCCCCGACCACATCCGCGTGGACGTCGAGATGAAGGGGCCCCAAGACCTTCAGACGGCCATGTACTATGCCCGGGCGTTCGAGCAGCGCGCCCAGGCCGTGACGCGTCCATCTGCGCCACGTGGGGGCCGACAGCTTCCCTGGCCGTCTCCGGCGGCACCGGCGTCCCCTGCAGCCGTTCCGGCAGCCGCCCCAGCACCGACGCGGCCATTCAGGCGCCTCACCCAGGCGGAACAGTTGGAACGCCGACGACTGGGCTTGTGCTTCAACTGTGATGCGCCCTATGCACCAGGTCATGTCTGTCCCCGCCTCTTCTACTTGGAGACGGCAGACGAGTCTGAGGAGGAGCCACTGGAGGATGGCCTCGGCGCCCCAGCCCTTGCGGAGCCCGCAGCGGCACCCGCGCCCGCCTCGGCCACCGCCCTTGTGGTGTCCCTACACGCGCTGGCCGGCATCCGTGATGAACGGACGATGCTCTTACCGGTCATGATCCAGGGTGAGCGCCTGGTGGCCCTAATGGACACAGGGTCCACACATAACTTCCTGCCGGAGACCACCATGCGGCGCCTGGCATTACAGCCGACCGGCGGTGAACAGTTGCGAGTCACCGTCGCTAATGGTGACCGTCTCCGCTGCCACGGGCTCGCCCGCGACGTGCCCATCACTATTGGCGACGAGCAATTCTCCATCACCTGCGCCGGCATCGACTTGGGCTGCTTCGACTTCATCCTCGGCGTCGACTTCTTGCGCACTCTTGGTCCTATTCTCTGGGATTTCGACGCGCTGACGATGACCTTCTGGCGGTTAGGCCGCCGCATTCGGTGGGCCGGCATTGGGGGTGCCGCACCCACCACTCCACTCCAGCTCGCCGCGACCACGGCCACGGCCGAGCACCCACTATTGGAGAGCCTCCTACAGCAGCACGGCGACATCTTCACCGAGCCACAGGGGCTGCCGCCCGCCCACGCGTACGATCACCGTATACATCTTCTGCCAGGCTCTGCACCGGTGGCGGTACGGCCTTACCGCTATCCGCAGTTGCAGAAGGATGAGTTGGAGCGGCAGTGTGCACTCATGCTCGCGGCGGGCATCATCCGGCTATCCACTTCGCTGTTTACCGCACCGGTGCTTCTCGTCCGCAAGTCAGACGGCACATGGCGTTTTTGCATCGACTACCGTGCCCTTAATGCTGTCACACTCAAGGATAAGTTCCCTATTCCGGTGGTTGACGAGCTCTTCGATGAGCTCCACGGGGCGCGCTTCTTCACCAAACTCGACCTCCGGTCGGGGTACCACCAGGTGCGCATGCACCCTGATGACACCGCCAAGACGGCGTTTCGGACTCATCACGGCCACTTCGAGTTCTTAGTGATGCCCTTTGGCCTCACCAACGCCCCGGCAACTTTCCAGGCTCTGATGAACGACGTCCTCCGACCCTACTTACGCCGGTTTGTGCTCGTTTTCTTTGATGATATTCTGGTCTACAGTGCATCTTGGGCAGAGCACCTACAGCACGTCGCCATCGTCTTCAACGAGCTTCGGGCGCACCATCTCCATCTTAAGCGCTCGAAGTGCTCGTTCGGGACGCCTTCGGTGGCCTACTTGGGCCACGTCATCTCGGCCAACGGGGTCGCTATGGACGCCGACAAGGTGGCCGCCGTCGCTGCCTGGCCGACGCCCCAGTCTCCGCGGGCTCTTCGCAGGTTTCTCGGCCTTGCGGGCTACTACCGGAAGTTCATCCGGGAGTTTGGTGTCATCGCTTCTCCATTCACGCGCTTGTTGCGCCGCGACGCGTTCGCCTGGGATGCGGAGGCGACGACAGCCTTCGAGGCCCTCAAGGGGGCCCTCACGACGGGGCCCGTTCTTCAGATGCCGGACTTCGACCAGCCGTTCGTTGTGGACTGTGACGCCTCAGGTGTGGGGTTCGGCGCTGTGCTTCATCAGGGCGACGGGCCTCTTGCTTTCTTCAGCCGGCCCTTCGCCCCGCGCTATCTCAAGCTTGCGGCGTACGAGCGGGAGCTCATTGGCTTGGTGCAGGCTGTGCGCCATTGGCGGCCCTATCTGTGGGGCCGGTCTTTTCAGATTCGCACGGACCACTACAGCCTCAAGTTCTTGCTGGATCAGAGGCTCTCCACCGTGCCCCAACATCAATGGATTAGCAAGCTCTTCGGCTTCGATTTCTCCGTCGAGTATCGCCCGGGTCGTCTTAACACCGTGGCCGATGCCTTATCCCACCGCGATGCCGACCTCGACTCCGTCACCGGTGACTCCGAGGGGCAGGCACTCTGCATCCGCTCAGGGCCGACTTTCGGCCTCTTCGACGACATTCGCCGGGCCACCACGACCGCCGCCGATGCGGTTCTCCTGCAGCAGCAGCTCGCGGCCGGCGACCTGGAGGAGCCATGGCGCCTCTCCGACAGCCTGCTGGTCCATGGGCGTCGTGTCTTCGTTCCCGCTCATGATGATCTCCGTCACCAGGTCTTGCTGCTAGCCCACTCGGCTGGCCATGAGGGTGTGCAGAAAACCCTCCATCGTCTCCGTGCCGACTTCTACATTCCTGGTGATCGTGCCCTCGTTCGCGATTAGGTGCGCTCTTGTGCGACGTGTCAGCGCAATAAGACGGAGACGCTACGGCCAGTTGGTCTTCTTCAACCCCTGGATGTGCCTTCTCAGGTTTGGGCTGATATCTCCATGGACTTCATCGAGGGGCTTCCCAAGGTGGGAGGCAAGTCGGTCATTCTCACGGTGGTCGACCGCTTTTCTAAATATGCTCACTTCATCGCGCTGGGGCATCCTTACACCGTCGCGTCCGTGGCTCGTGCCTTCTTCGACGGTATTGTCCGTCTGCACGGATTTCCTGCTTCGATCGTCAGTGATCGCGACACGGTGTTCATAGGCCATGTCTGGCGCGATCTCTTCAGGATGGCGGGCATTAAGCTCCGCTTCAGCGCGGCCTTCCACCCCCAGACGAACAGCCAATCAGAGGTGGTTAACAAGGTGATCGCCATGTATTTACGCTGTGTTACAGGTGATCGGCCTCGTGCTTGGGTGGATTGGCTCGCATGGGCGGAGTACTGCTACAACACCTCCTACCACTCTGCCCTGCGTGCGACACCATTTGAGGTGGTCTACGGGCGGCCACCTCCGCTGATCTTGCCGGTGGACCCGGCTACGGCGAGGACGGAGGCCGCGGGCGACCTTATTCGCACCCGTGACGAGATGCTTGCGGAGGTCCGTCAGCGTCTCCTTCAGGCTCAGCAGCTGGCGCAGCATTACTACAACAACCACCATCGCGAGGCGGAGTTCGCGGTGGGTGATTGGGTGTGGCTGCGTCTTCTTCACCGCTCTACGCAGTCACTCGACCCGCGCGCGAAGCGCAAGCTCGGGCCTCGCTACGCGGGACCCTTCGCCATCTTGGAGCGCATTGGGCAGGTGGCCTATCGTCTTCAGCTGCCGGCCGGCGCTCGCATCCACGATGTGTTTCATGTGGGGCTGCTCAAGCCTTTTCATGGAGAGCCACCGGCGGCTCCACCAGCGCTTCCCCCGACCGTCAATGGACGTCTTCTTCCGGAGCCAGAGAAGGTGTTGAAGGCGCAACTTCATCGCGGGGTATGGTTCATCTTGATCCAGTGGGCAGGTCTTCCTGTGGAGGAAGCTACTTGGGAGCCACGTGAGGATTTCCGCCAACACTATCCAGACTTTCAGCTCGAGGACGAGCTGTTTGTGCAGGCGGGGAGAGATGTTATGACCGGTTTACAATACAACCGGAGGAGGCCCGCTGGGTAGTAGATTAAGGGCTTGGCCCACAAGTTATCTTAGGCTAGTCGTTTTCAGGTTATAAATATTAGATTGTAAGATACCTTTTGGAATTAAGCAATAAAGATAGTTCTATCCTATTGCCCGGCTCCAGAGGAGCCGGAAACCCTAGCCGCACCTTGCCCTAGCCGCGCCGCCCTCTTCTTCCTCGCGACGGCGCCCACGTGCCGGAGCCGCCGCCCTCGCCCCCAACCCTCGCTGTTCTACCCGTATAACCTACAGAGTAGAGCCGGTAGGAACCCTAGCCCTACCAACCACACATGTACATGTGTATATATCGGCCTATGGGCTCATGGATATATTTATCGCCCTATGGCCTCATGGATATTACATATATATAGCCTCAAGGAACACAAGTTGCATATTTCCTCAGTGTGAGCATTTAAATTGCTATAGAGCATAACAAGAAATGTGTGCAAAACAATAAGCCATCTCATATTAATGTTAAAAACACCAAGGCAACATAGTTATACAAACTTTTTCCCCTAGCAAAGATATTACTTTTTTGTAGTAGAACAATGTGAATTGCTTTCGGGAGAACCTTACAGATGCCGCCTGTTCCAATCCTAATTTAACTTGTTTCCTAGGTCAAAGCAAACATGGTACAACAGGACCAAGTAAAATGGCGACATTCTTCTGAAAGTGAGTTTAATACCTCTATCTAGATTCTAGAAGAGTGTCACATGATTTCATCTGTCTGGCTCTGTTTGGCATGGCAGTGGATTATGATGCTGTTCGCCTGACTAGATTTTTCCTATTCAGCTGTTTGACCAACCATCTTTTTTGAAAAGAAAAAAAAACTGCCTGACTAACCAAATTTTGCCTATTTCCCGCACCTACTTTCTCACAGTAGATTATACTATAAAGTTCAGCACAACATGGTTCATCAACCGCAAATTGGGCCTTAGTCAAAATAAGTGCCGCACCACACCTACTTTC